GTTTGTAATACAATCGCCTGTTGTACCTAGGATTTTTGAAATATAATGTTAAGATCATATAACGTATTCACAGTTACAGAATTGATAAAAGTACAAAAATAAAAGATAATCTTTTTATAATGTCCAACAACAAAAACACACTCATTTGAAGATAACATACACCATTCCGATATTAAACGTTTGTCGCGAACAATCTCATGGCTAGTCATTATTAAGATTATGGACTTCAAACGCTAAAATCCGAAGTTCGAGTCCCCTGCTACAGATAGCACATTGTGTAATTGTGTAACTTTGCGCTAAAAGAACAACAAAAAAATTTGTCGCGAACAAAATAATAGCGTAAAAAAGTTCTCGAAACGTTGTAAATAAATGAAAAAACACACGAAAGATCTTGTATAATTAATGATCGTGATTCTATTTCATGGTTTCTACTTCAACAAAATATTATCTTTTTGTAAGTCTTACATTTCAGGCATTGCATTTAAACCTCTAATCTCCAAACATTGTTTCTGCTCACTTCCAGAGGAATTCGAATAATTCAAACGTTGCTATGAAAAGATTCTACAAAATGGGTTTGATACCTAAGCATAAAAACTGCTTACTCCTAAAGGATATGCTTCTACAAGCATTACTGCTGAACGTCTCCAAGAAGAATTGAATCTCCAGAAATGGTTCCGCTCAGGATTGACTAGGAAATCCAGGACTTTGGGATTTTGTCCAGGGAAACTTGGAAAGCTATCTTAAAGTTCAGAAAGTTAAAACGGATAGAAGATATTTATCTATATATCATTTTTATACGATTTCGTGGTTTACAAAAAACTAGCTTATCAGTAGTGTGTGAACTGTGACGCTTCATTAACAGCCATCAATTTGACGTGCACTATGACAAAGTAGAAAAGAAGCACATGTGTATCTGATATTCGATTTATAATTGTTAGTCATAGAAATGGCCCTGTTCATTGTTTGTGGTAGTATAATAGTAGTAGTATAATATCATTGTAGTTCAAAATACCTAGTAGCATCTAAGTTTACGAGGGAGGATGCTCATGAACCCTTTACAAAAAGTATGTCATTGGCATGAAGTGTCCTGAATAACAAGTTGAAAGGTTGGAAATCCTACCCCTGCACATTTTGGCTATTTACTTCTGCCTTTAAGTTGATTTGAATATACGAATAATGTTGCTGTTTATTCCCAGGAGAGTTGAAGCTTCTAAACTATTTTAATATGCGTTAAGTATCTTCCGAACAATATTATTGTTCACTCCCAGGAGTTCTGAAGCTTTTAAACTCCTTTAAGTTGAGTTGAATATCCGAAAATGTTTATGTTTATTCCTAGGAGTTTTGAAGCTTCTAAACTTATTTAAGATGCTTTAAGTATCCCCCGAACAATATTGTTGTTCACTCCAAGGAGACTTGAAGCTTGTAAATTCCATTAAGATGATCTAAATATTTGAACAGTGTTATTCTCGCTCACACAGAAATAACTAACAAAACGTAAGTTCTTCATTTCTATTAATAATCAATACGAAAACAACAAGGAATGAAAGAAATTAATGTTTGTTAGGTTTCGCGAAAAACTACATGAGGGTTATCTATGTTGGCCATTCCTAATTTTGAAATGACAAACTAGAGAGAAGGCAGCTAGTCAATATTAACCACCTCCAACTCTTGGGCTACTTTTGTCATTCCGAAAAGTGGTATTTGACCGCCACTCTTATATTACAATTATGGCCCCAAATTGCGGAGTGCAATTTTATTTTCCGATAACAAGACGCGAACCACAGCTGCACAGTCCACTACACTAACCATTGAGTCGCGCTAGGCCAAGAAAGCAGTAAAGTACTTACTGAGTTAGAAGTCATGACTAGGCTAATTTTATGCTGGCGATGTGGAATATATGATTACTTCATTGGTGCAGTTTAGCCTCATAAAAAGGATACTCGGTGACTCAACATCCGTAAACGACAACTTCAATGAGATTTTGTTATATTTTGCTAAGACTTTCTATGGAGATTGCAGGGTGCTTTTAAAGAAAGCCCGTCATTTATAATGATTACATATGAAAAACTACGTGATTTACGGGAACAAAATTGCACCAGAAGGACATGGAGAATTTTACATTTTATTCAATATAAGCAACAATGTTTTATTTTATAACTTAAACAGTAAGTAAACCATCACATTGACATGATTATTCTTAACGTGAACGATGATGTATAGTTTAAGTTCGTTATTCGAGTTTTTCATGCTTCTTGCACACTGCTGATCACATAAACGAGGAAATGGCAGATCATTTGTTTATTGCAGCATCGCATTCTTATATTGCGCGCCTCAGCGAACAAGAATTTAAAAAAAATCATACATTGTTTTATCAGAAGTATAGTCAATACCTTGAAGAGAATTGGAAAATATTCAATATGCTTTACAGACATTTTGAGATTAGGTTAGAGTCTAACCTCAGTCGTTTATGGGAAAATCCGCTACGTAAGAACTTAGATCGGTTTCTTTTTTCCATAATTTCGCAAAAAGCTACACTTGCGCTTATTGTTCTCCATTTCGAACTGATAGACTAGAAGGAAGGTAGCTAGTTCACAGCACATACAGCCAATTCTTGGGCTACTTTAATCGAATAGTGAGACTTGACTGTCTCTCTTATAACGCATTCAAGACTCTAAAATGTCGAGTCGCGTTTATGCGACAATATGATGCGGACCACGAACACTCAGGTTCACAGCGTAGCTCGCTAACCCGACCATGGGCAATCAGGTTCACAGTGTAGCTCGCTAACCCGACCATGGAGAATCAGGTTCACAGTGTAGCTCGATAACCTTTAGGTCATGCCCGACCGTGTAGATAGGAGCTTGAAAATTTAAGCTTTAATAGTATGTATAAATATTAATTTAAAAATCATTATTAATAATTAAATGCTAATATTTGTATTTCTTACACGTTGAAGCCTCTAGAAGTGACGAGAGCGTGTGGGGTTCAATCAGGTCTGAGCTATTCGTAGTTTTATTTATTGGTGCTTATATTAAACCAATTTTTGTAAATGATGCCCCTCAGTATAAACTGACGAAGTACGTATGATAAATGAGTGAAAAACGTTAATAGATAAGTTATCTTTATTTTAAAATAGTAATAATTAATTAAAGCCACATTCCTAGTTTTTCTTTTAAAATATAATGCGTGATCGCATAATTGCTTAAACCCGGGTTTGCTGTTCCTCTTTCCCCGACAATATTCAAACTAATGCGTCCTCTACGTGGCAAAAATATATTGTATAAGATTACTGTCGCACTAGTTGTTTATTTCGGTAATATCAATGGCTGTCGATATAACGATAGATTTGTCTGTGTTGAACTGAAATGTGCACAAAGGAGTATTTGCGGTGTGCATAAAAAAGCGGATGGGCCTGGTGGTTAGGGCACTCGACTCGCAAGTTACGGGTCGAGAATTAGAATCCCGTCACCGAAGTCCCCCAGTGGCACAGCGGTACGTCTGCGGACTTACAACGCTAGAAACCGGGTTTCGATACCCGTGGTGGGCAGAGCACAGATAGCCCTTATGTAGCTTTGTGCATAATTAAAAAACAAAACAAAAAACAAACAAACCGTCACCGAAAATGCTCGCCCATTCAGACGTGGGATCTTTTAACGTGATGGTCAATCTCACTTTTCGTTGGTAAAAAAGGAGCTCATGAGTTGAAGGTGGACGATATTGGCTAGCTACCTTCCCTCTAATTTAGGAACGGCTAACGCAGAGAGCTTGAGTGGCTTTGCGAGAAATTCAACAAACAAACAAACCCACGGCAGATAACGAACGCTACTTTTAGCGTTATAAGCCCCCAAGCTTACAGCTGAGCCACTAAGGGGTCGGGATAAGGATAGGAAAAAAATAATAATGCCATACCTTCTGTTTTTAGCAACTTGAGTAACTAAACCATCCGTTATTCCTGTAGTGCTGTGGTTATAAAATAGTAAATCTGTTATAAAAATCACACAGGAAGTAATTGTTGAATATCAACAAAATTTTAAAGTAGTTAATTTGACCTATGATAAAATCAAACCTTTCTAACACAGAAGTGTCTTTATTTGTAAAGTGCATGACGTGTGTGTATAAGAGAGGAAAGTTTTACACATGCTGTTTGGAAGGTTGAGCGCGAACGTGCTTCCCACATTACACGTATAAGAGAGGAAAGTTTTACACATGCTGTTTGGATGGTTGAGCGCGAACGTGCTTCCCACATTACATGTATAAGAGAGGAAAGTTTTACATATGCTGTTTGGATGGTTGAGCGCGGGAAGCAGCGTCGCGAGTTTGGATTCTATACGATTTCAGTTTTGACCTCTGCAAACTTTTCTCTACACCAAATTCCCTGTAAAACTTGTATATCCAGGGATTTATCCATAGAGCACAGCAGTGAAACTATATTTGGATTCACCACAAAACTGTGATTATCCTATAGATCATGGAGCGATGTATAAAAGCCAGTGAATATACTTATTTAAGAGAAAGATAGGTCAGAAATGAGTTGAAGTCTATAAAAGACCATATAACTAGAGGAATTTGCGAAGAGAATTCGCATTTTCTGCCCACCCCCGATGGAGGGAGGATCATTGTGCATCATTAAGTTGAGATGGATGACCTTATCGTCTCACTTTAGACTTTTCAGGATTACTGAACTGTTATAGCTAGAAGACCTTTGAGTCTGGAATTCAAACCTTTTCATACGTTTAGAAAATAAATCACTAGTTACAATGAACAAATATATGAGGTTTATTTTGATTTTGTATTAAATATTTTAATTTGTAGCTCCTTATTTTCTAACCTCCTTTTCTTAATTTGGCACGACTAAACTTAGAAAGCAAGAATTATATTAATGCTTTGAAACCAGTAACATGACTTGTGATAGATATTTCCTTAAAAACTTAGCTCTGTTTATTATCTTCATAATGCTATAGAAGTAATATTATGTAATTATTATATTCAACGTTTTAAAGTGGTAAAGCAGGAGCTGGAAGATTTAATGACTGACATCAAGAAAACGGCCAATAAATCCCGTACCAAGTTAAAAAGTAAGTTTACATGTTACAGCAGTCTACTAACTTAATTATGTGCTTATACTATGCTGAAGAGGCGTTGAATTAAGAATATAACTCATTGAGTAAAATACCTCTAAACAAATAGATAGATTACGTCTAACAATAGACGTGGTGTACTAGCTTTGACAATACGATACTGAAGTAACTCCAATATAAATACTGAAGTGTAGTACCTTACTATTGTAGATAGTAAGTATAAGGCCTGATTGAAAAGTAAAAATATGGTTCCAGTGTTAACGTATTTTATTTTTAACATAGTGTTTGAGTAATACAACTAAATGAAGTAAAATTAGGTTTAAAAAAGTATGTGGTAATGCCGATCTTAATACTGAATATCACCTAATTGCAGCCTATAGATTATGTCATTTGAGGTAAACTTGCTTCAGGTTTCAGGCAATTAATATTTAGTATTAAGTAATTATTATAATTCAACACTGGAATTAAAACATTGTGTCGAATGGCATATATCCTCTTTGATTCTAAATTCACTCAACTGTAACATATGGATAAAAGTTCGATTTTCTTTATACCAGGCCCCTCTAACAACAAAAAATAACAATTTAATAACACTTCACATCAACTAATAAACTATTGTTTACTTTTTTAGTGATGGAACATAATATTGAACAAGATGAACAGGCAGACGCAAGCTCTCCAGCTGATCTTAGAATACGAAAAACTCAGGTAATATTTAACGATGCTAACAAATTTATAGCCTACATTAAAACAGAATAACGTTTTCCATCATAGTTTTAATATGAACATACTAAGTCTTAGTGTTTAAACGTCCCACCATCTATTTATAGTAACAGTTATTTTAAAATATTTTTGTGAAGTACATTTTTCTTTGAATAATAGCAGATGTTTCCACCCTTGATATATACATTTTACTATTTGATAACTCAACAATAAAAAAAGTATGATAAATTTTACTTATCAATATTTTAAGAAAAAGTTTGATCTTAATATTATTTTAGACAGGCAAGTTGGTAAATTTTTTTCTTATTTTTATTCGAGATTCACGAAGAACTACTTGATAAATATCTGTGCTAGCCATCCTTATTTTTATCTCATAAACTAGAGGAAAGGCAGCTGGACAACAGCATCCACTGCCAAGCTCTTGGGGTTACTCTTATCAGACCAAATAGTATAATTTGACTGTCACCCTTATAACGCACCCAAGGTCCCAAAGTGCAGAACGCGATTTTGTTTTGGCTGTAACGGGACGCTGACGTAGGATCCGTAGGTCCATAATAGGCACGCTAGTCAATGGGCCATGCTCTGCCCTAGAAGTATAACTTTCACATTTACATTCCTGCTTCTTATATAGAACATTCTAGATCCTGACAAACTTGTGCAAAAAGTTAACAGCAATATTTACACTTACTTCAGATGGAGTTTTTTCACATTACTTTTATCAGTTTGTTTATTTATCATTAAGCATAAAGCTAAACACTGGGCTATCTATGCTTTGCCCAACGCGGGTATTGAAACCCAATTTTTAGCGTTATAAACACTGATGAGCCACCGGAGGGAGGTTCTCTTATTAACAATTCCGGTTTTTAAATAAAAATGTGCAAAATAGCATTTTGAATTGATTTGTCACAAATCAATACCAAGAAGGCCTTTCGTTCATTATCAGAACTTATTATAATAGCTGGACCTATGTCAGCCAAAAAAGAATATCTGAAATCTCATTTGTGTGCAATGCAAAAAAGACACTGTAGTAGTGTAAAACGCTTAAGATAACGAAGCAGTTACGTTTTTTTAGTTCTAAGAAATTATTGAAATCAATATTGGCTTTAAGGATCGATTCTATTCACTATTGTAAAAAAAAGTATCATTGCTTCTTTAGCTACGACGTACTGCATAAATGCAAGAATATTTGCTAATTTGTTGAAATTGACAAGTAATATTCACGCTCAATATAAGAAACTTCATAAGATATACTTTAGTGAGATTAAAATATACAAAAATAAACTGTTCTGTAAAATTAATACAAGGAAACGCACGTGATATTACATCACAATAAAACTTACATCGCTTTTTAATAGCCCAACACGAGTTTCCAGTGCGAATAGTGTAAAATGGCATTTCAATTATACCTTGTTTGCTTACAAGGAGGCTTTTAACTCGATACTAGAGTATAGTGGACAGGTTGACGTATAACATACAAATAATTTGTTGAAATGCTATTTATGTTAGCCGTTTATGAGGCAAATCTTGGATGTACAATAACATAGATCTCGGAGTAAGACTTGTAGTTGTAATAATGGGATGTAATCACACTCTTATTACTACTGAATGTCATGATTTGATAGCTAAGGTGTCCCTTGAGCTAAAAGTGGATTTAACACTGTGTTTTATTTTCCCCTAAAGTGTTCGTAATCTTTTTTAACTTAAAAACACATTAATGCAACCTTATTTTAGAAACGTTGGACAACAGATTCTTAAGAAAAATTATACTGCACTTTTTTGTCCAACATAGCATACTGCATTATCTAGAAAGTTCGTAGAGATAATGACAGACTACAATAAAACCCAGACTGATTACCGAGACAGGTGCAAGGATAGGATTCAACGACAATTAGAAATAAGTAAGTGTTTCTTTCTTGTGATTCTACAAAAGTGTAAGGATTTTAGTTTGACAGATGTAAAACAGACTGTAGTGTATCAGTTATTCAGGTATTTTTTAAATTCTTACAAATCACTGTTTGCTCTTAAGCCTTGTCCAAAATATGTATAAAACAACAAACTCTGAAGTTCTCTGAATTACTGAATTTAAATGTAGAATTAAGATAATTTAGATTATTCGGTATTTTTAAGCATTTTTATTTTGTCAAAAATATTTTCAAAAACACTAAAACTATGTATATTTTTATAGTTATTGTTTCTGTTGTATTGATACTAATAGAAAACTTACCTTAAATTTGGTAAAAGGAATTTAACAAAACAAAAATCCTGGCGGTGAGGTCAATCTTACACAGTGAGCAGCTTAACATTATAGTACAACAAGTAAGAATTTGAGATGTCACTGAAAACTAAATGGTTTATTTCGTTTGTTGAATTCCGCGCAAAAACTATTCGAAGACTAACTGCGCTAGCCGTTCCTAATTTTGAAGTGATAGACTAAAAAGAAGGCAGCTTGTCAACACTACCCACCGCCGACTCTTGGATTACTTTTTACCACTGAAAAATTGGATTGACAGTTACGTTATAAAGCCCCCCATGTTCGATAGTGGCATTCGAATCCTCGGTCAAGTGCTCTAACAACCAGGTCATGCCAGGCCTAATTTATTCTAAAAACACAGTTCAAACATAAAGTAGGCCTAAATGAGAAATAGTTACGAATTCATGAATAGGTAAGAGAAATTTTGTACAAGGATTTAAGGATTCATTCAACAATGAAGCTATGATCTCAAGTAAAAACTGGTAGACGGTTTCAGAAATACATTTAGAATTAGATGAATATATTAACTTGGAAAAATGAGAAAAACTGGAGGGAGAAGTGTTTCCAAGTGTCTTTTTTGTTTTGTAAATTCTTAGAAGACTTTCATTAAAAGATATATAAATTAATGAAAATAGATGTTATAATAACAATTGTAAATATTAAGGAAAAGGTTACTGTAGGTATTTAAAGTTTTTATATTTAGCTAATGAAAAATTTATTTCAATTTCGGATAGATGTTTTTTGTTTACTTTCACCTCAGCTGGCCGAGCCACCACTGATGATGAGCTGGAAGAAATGTTGGAAAGCGACAATCCTGCAACCTTCACACAGGGGGTAGTTTCTTTTAATATATGGTCGAAAAGAAAATTAGTCTGTAAACTAATAACTTCTTGTAATTAACACACACACACACATATATATATGAATTTAACACGTAAATAAATTTCACTCTTATAAAAAAAATGAATTTTATAAAGATATTAAACTTTTACTTTTACTTTATGAAATAAGTTTATATATTATTTTAAGAATAATAAAACATAAACTTACTAAACCTCTTTTATCTTTCAGTAGTGTTTGTTTAGTCCTAGCTATTTATTAAAAAACATAAACATATTTTGAAAGTAAAGTAAGAAAATATATACATATCTAGTAACTAAACTTTAAAGCAGATTTTACTTCATCAAAACTATCTTAATTCAGAAAATAATAAAATTAAATCCCATGAAACTCGTTATGAACATTATTGTTATTTTGAAGCCATTTGGAGACAAGTTCTTGTTTCCTTTTTAGCTGCAGTTATCTATGTATAAGAAATTTCTTGATGAATATCAAAACATCACTTGCTTATGGTCTTACTTTTATGTGTAGATTGTAATTGAAACTCAGAAAGCTAAGCAGACAATAGAGGACATTGAAGCTCGTCATGCGGACATCATAAAACTAGAAAAAAGCATCCGGGAGCTGCACGATATGTTCATGGACATGGCAATGTTGGTAGAGAGTCAGGTAAAAATCTTTTTTCAATGAATTTTCATAGAATTTTCACAGTTACATATTGTGAAGTTGATGAAATAATAATATATATTTTTGTATTCCCCCCTCCATGTCACAGGAAGTTTCCACCACCACATAATATCATACCATCCAAAATGCACACTTTTATGTTTCTACAATCAATAAATTCACTGTCAACTCACATATACAGGGTGGGCCATAAGTAATGAACTAATGGGTTGTTCAATTACGTGTGAAATGTTTACTACATCTACATTTTATGTTACTTTATAAGACGCTGACCTTTCTTTAAGCAAAAATGATCAAAGTATTTGCTTTTCCGGTTTACATAGTAACTCTGTTAACTGCTCTTTACCAGGCTTTCTGCATAAAAACCCTTTGTTCTCAGGTCGGTCTTTGAGCTATTTCAGCAGTAAGGAAATACAGCTATCAAAAGGTACTAGGAAACAAATAAGAAATTCAAATAATAAATTTTAATAATAAATAAGAGCTGAAAAATGTTACGGTAAGCTTACTTATGCCCCACCCTGTATATAACATACTAAAAGTGGAAGTAGGTCTGAAAAAGAATGTAAAAAGGTTAGAAAAAATCTTTAATATCAACAATTACGAAGCTTAAGGTGTGTGTGTGTGTGGGAGTACTGAATACACTTACAGTTAAATGTTGTTTCTAACTAAATCTTAAAATGCTATTTATTCAATTTTCAAATCCTCTGACATATCCATGTTGGTTTGGTTCAGATACTGACATATCCATGTTGGTTTGGTTCAGATACTGACATATCCATGTTGGTTTGGTTCAGATACTGACATATCCATGTTGGTTTGGTTCAGATATCACTAGCCAAGGCATCGGAGTTGCAAGTCAAATAACATTTTATTAAGACAGTAAAATCAAAACCAACAGGAACTAGTTTCTAATAGGTTTCAATTTAAAATGAAAAAAGAATCAGTGTATTCTTGAATAATCATAACGTTTTTTATTTGTTTAAAGCATTGGGGAACCCATTATAAATTACAATAAACATTACATTTTAAAGTTACTGAACATATTTTTTTATGATGAAAGCAAATCTTAAATTTTATGATATTAGTTAATGTTAAAATTCCCGAATTTATCTAATGACCTTAGTAAATATTGTGATTAACCGTTTATATGAGCTTTTTTTAACTTTGACTACTATTCAGCTCACAAATTAGTATCACTGCCACCAAACGGAACAGCACCACACACAATAGCGGAATTAAATATTTTTAGTGAGTTCCAAACAGCTGATATATGACTTTTCTATACTCGACCAACCATAACACCAACCACATAGTTAAGATATACTTGATGAAACGTCAGTTCCTTTATTTCTAGTTGTATCCACACTTAGTAGGCACTAAGAGTCTTGCTGTGGCGGAATCCTACTTTCAGGCTACTCCTCTCCTCTATAAGTTTTATATATACTATTACTTGTTTATTCAGACATTTATTGTTTTTAAGGCAAAAATGCACAATGAACTAACTGTACTGTGTATGTATCCCCGAATATTAGCATTATAAGCAACTGGGGACTAGTAATTTATTAGTTCTATCAATAATAATCTAAAATACACACAAGATATTTCACAAACATATGTATGTAAATGATAACAATAAAAATGGTATATAAATCAATGGTGTAGGTTGTTTTTTTGTTTATTAACTACGAAGCTAAACAATGAGTTATCTGTGCTCTGCCCATCACGAGTATCGAAACCCGATTTTTAGCGTCGTAAGCCTGCAGACTTACAACTAAGTCACTGGAGGGCCAATGATGTAGGGAAGGCCCACAAGAAAATGTATGACCGGTATGAGATAGTGATAATGAAATGACGACAGGTCTCGTGAAATATGAAAATTTACGATGTAATATGTTCATTATAGTTGAATTGTTAATGCATTAATATTATGTATATTGGGTCTTTCAAAACGCTCACCCTTCATTAAAACAAACATTCCATCATTAGGCTCACAGAATACAGCTTCGAAAAATAATAGGAATAGGTCCGATGCCTGGATTATAATCCAGTAGTAATTTGGGGATACAGTTGTGGACCAAGGTCATAACCTCTGTGGGCCACAAGTTTATACAGAGACAGCTGATGATCAAGGATAGGAACTAAATCGGGATTTCTACGATATAAAGATCCTAAATGTGAGTCAGAGTGACGAAGTGACCTTATGCTATAATAAGCTTTTGATCCACGAAACTTAATATTTTTGAAAGGAGGCAGATCCTCAAATTCATACCACTTCCGTTAATAATAAAATAAAACACATTTCATTGACGAGTTATCTATAATCTCCCAGTAATTCCATGCGTAATAGGATAACATTTTATGAATATGAACTACTCAGATTTTAAGTGATAATCAAGTGATGTAAAACCTACTTTGTCTTGAGAATGATGTGTTCCAATACAAACTAAATTAGTCACTGAAAATGGATCATAATTAGCATCACAGTATTTTTTTTTTTGCTTCTTATAAAACAGTTGTAATTTACGAAAATTCAAAATTGTATCAAGCTCTTAAAGCAGATAAGGATTATTCTTGGAATTTTGAAGCTAATATATTAGAGTAAACTGTAGTTCCCCTTGTGCCCGCAGCACACCATACATTCAGAAGAAATTTTAAATATCTTCCATAACACAAGAACACTGGTGATCCACCCGTATTTACATGAAGAATGATATTAAAGCTAAGATTAAATGTGACATATAAACTCCCCTTTTATATTTTGTTTGGCACACACCAAAATAACCTTTACATTTTGAACTGCCCTTTCTGTCAGATTTGTGTGTGAATAATAAGCAGTGGTTAATTTTTGGGTTAGCCTGAGTATTTAAGCTTCCTATTTAAATAAATCACTCACAAGTTGTGTAACTAAAAGTCTAAGGTATCCCATGATGCACTCACTATCACTTAGGATATCTGCAACTATGTAATTACATTTGCTGTAACCACTGGAAGAAGAAACTCCTCAATCCATTTAGTGAACTAATCCAGAAACTCACAAATAAATTGATAGTTTATTGGGAGATATGACAACTACCCGTGTGCTTCCTATTCTCTGGCCTGTAGACTCACCGTTTATCTCCGGAAACAGTTTTAGCTGTCCTCAAATGGTCTACGAGTATATAATCATGAAAATGTGTAATGATTGTAGCTCTCACGTTTTTAGGTACAAACAACTTTAATTGCTCTGTAATCTGATAAGACCTACAACTACTGTGAATAATAAACAAAAAACATCTTGTACCTTATACAACCGAAAGATTCCGTACCGTCTAATGAACTATTTTCTACATCTCTCAGAACTGGATGTAAAAACTACCGAGATATCACATGGGTTTTAACTTCTAAAACTAAGAGTGGCTATTTTTGAATATTTCACGGAGAGAGGATTTTAAGAAGTTTTCCAATTTCGACGTTACAGCGTCATCTTCAGGTGTAGAGTCGTCAACTTTTTGAAGGCCATAGATAGGCCTAAATAAAATGTTTTTAATTGTGTACCAGTTTAACGTTGAATATTACTTATAATTTTAACTTTATACACAAGTGCCAAAATACTATAATTATATATTATATCTTTACAATTTTTGGTCTACAGTCATCTGAAATAGGGCTACTCTGTCCAAAATGTCATTTAAAATAAAAAAAAGAGCTATTATAAAACCAAAACCAGTTTTAGTCAACAGACTATTATTTTGTCATGTTTTTTCTGAAGTTGTTTTTGCTGTAACTAATTAAATTGAACTTAGTGTCTGCTGTCTGCTCATTTCTTTTTACTTTCCGTTTTGCAAATATCCAGATTAGTTATCATATTTTACTTTAATTTAATTTAACTTTTTTTTTTTTTTACGGATAACATTTGCACATAAGAAATACAATTTATCTCGCTGCTGCACCATTCAAAAGCACCTTGTTGCTTTTAAACATTTTGTGTGTAATTAGTTTGACAATGTCAAATTTCTATTGTTATAAATTAATGTGTCGCGTTGTTACTTAACCAATCAAATCTAGGGAGAGATGATTGACAGGATAGAATACAATGTGCAGCAGTCAGTGGACTACATTGATGCAGCTAAGAGAGACACCAAAAAGGCTGTAAAGTACCAAAGTAAAGCAAGACGGGTGAGTCCTGTTTCGGCACTTTCTATACTATAAAAAAAATGTTTAAGGTTTCCACAATTATTTGAATTTACTTGTTTATTTTTACTCTTGTGCCCGATTAATATAGCATTATTATAATTTTATCCTACATTAGCTTTTTAATTTTTGAACTAATCAACTTTTTTATTATTAGGTTTGGCTTGGTGATTAGGGCTCTCAACTCGTAATCTGTGGGTTACTGGTTTTAATTTCATTACTAAACATGCACGCTCTTTCAGCCGTGAGAGCGTTATAATGTTACGGTCAATCCCACTATTCAGTTAGTGTAGTCCAAAAGTTAGCGATAGTTTTTCTACCTCCTGTTAATTTAAACGATTATTATAATTAATACTAGCTATATGAAAATTCCTTGTATATTATGTCATTACGCCATTAGCTTCGTTGCATAACATTTTGATTACTGTCTTTATCATATTAAGGACTATTGTATCTTATTTTTTGTAAATACAGTTATTTTCATTACACTTTTTACTTTTTGGAGGCTTACCGTGCTTCCTTTTCGACTTTGCAGTGGATTTAAACGTAATTTATTACCTCCTATAGATGTTTGTTGCAGGGAACAGTTAAAGTAAGAATAGTAAAGTTTGTTAGACACACCACATATTATAATCAGCAGTTCAGGTATTAGTTCAATTTTTTTGTAGTTTTTGCACCTTCATAAATATCAATTTTTGGTTGTAGTATGGGGAAATTACTGCTAGAAATTGGGCACAGTTTAAGCAGTAACATGTGTTGAATACAGATGTCACTAGCCTCTGATGTGAGCGAGTGGGGGTGGCTTAATGAGTTTTCTTTGGTTAAAAGACGGATTGGGAGAAACGGAGAACACAAACATGTTGACCCGGCATGGCCAGGTGGATAAGGCGCTCGGCTCGCAATCTGAGGGTCGCGGGTTCGAATCCCTGTCCCACCAAACATGCTCGCCCTTTCGAGGGCCGGGGGGGGGGGGGCGTTATAACGTGACGGTCAATCCCACTATTCGTTGGTAAAAGAGTAGCCCAAGAGTTGGTGGTGGGTGGTGATGACTAGTGCCTTCCTCTAGTCTTACACTGCTATAG